ACACACACACAGACACAGACAACATGAAGGAAGGAGCAGCACCATCAAAAGCCATCGTGAACACTGTAGTGGCGGTTTGACCTGGAATCAGCGCACGAGCTAAAAGTAGCAGCTGAGCAGGGATGTGAACATAGCTTAGTGTGTCTGGATTTAGACGGCAATCTGAAGCCATACCAGAGGAGGAGACACGGACTGGAGGAAAGGAGGAGAAAGGAACAAGCAGTAAATTGGACGTCCGTAAATGGGGCACTGCCAACAGGCGTGAGTGGGTGATGTGAGGATCTGCCAGTGTGTGTGTATGTGCGTGTGTGTGTGTCTGTGTGCGCACTTCACTGTATGTGTGTGTGGCTTGAAAAACAGGATGCTGCCAACAGGAGCTTAATGCCCAGAAATCATTTGCAGCTACACTAAAGTCTGCCAGGCGACAGGAAAGAAAAAAGAAAGAAAGAGAGAAAAGGGAGAAAGGAGAGGAGGTTGCTGCCTCTCTACCCTCCCTTCTCTCTCCCACCTCCCACTCTCAGGGTAATTGTGTTCTGTCCATCAGGCTCAGAGTTAGATTAGCGACTCCACTCATTCAGCTCTCCTGCCATCTCAATAATGAATAATCATAGAGACCACCTCTACAGTACATTTCTCACTACCTGAGCTCTGTCCATCTTCTGCCTCCTCCTCCTCCCCCCTTCCCCTTTCACCAACGCCACCTTTGTATCCTGCAGAGGCCTTATCTTATTTCTCCTCTGAGTTGTACACGTTGATGAATAACCATGCCTGCATGTACCAAAGGTTATCCCATGTTAAATTCTGCCATGGTTCAGATGTCTTAATGGCAAACAAACAATCTTTCTATTAACTCTATTAACAATCAGACACAATCAAACGCTCCTAGTTTTAGGTGCCCAGACATCATATCATATCATAGCATGAAATGTCAACAAAGTTTGCTAGCAAACCAAAGAGAGAAATGTCAATCGAAGACCATTCTATCTGGAAAAAAACAAAACAAAGAACAGCAAAAAGTAGGATATAAAATATAGAGACATACCAGTTTATAATCTGTAGTAGGTAAAATCCCACTGAACTTTGGTAGTCTGACCAAGTGAGGAAGAAGTGAAGAGTGGCGAAGAGTGAAACTGAGCGTAACGGATAAGAGCAGAAGAAAGGGTAAAAGCTCAACTAGTGGAGGTTAGAGGACAAGACGCACCAATGGGTGAATGAGTTGATAGACTGTGCCTGTGACTGAGCTGTGGGTTAAAGTTCAGTGTCACACCCAGATAACCGCTGCATATCACTTCACTTTGTCACATACACAGCCAACAATAAATCAAGTGCAGTGTCATTTATCTTAATCTCAAATTTATTACGAGATTAGCATAGAACAAAATATGATTGATAGATGGTGATGATAAATGCAAGGGAACTGCAAAACAGACTGCCCAGGATGGTTTATGATACAGGTGCTAACTAGGGAGGAAAAGCAATCTAAATCATTTCCATAATCGAACCACAGCAATGTTAATGATCAATTACAGATTAATCATTGAAAGCCCATAGCATATAAAGTGATGTTTTACCGTGATGAAAACTTATTTTAAATAATTGGCATGGGCTATGAATCCTAAATTAAATAAAATAAAATAAACTCTGTCACTCTGTCAAGCTGCTGCTCCTGCTCGGCCTGCCTTTCTTCAACAAATAGAAAAACAAAATTCAAAAGATTCACCACAATGATTCTGCTCCAGTAACACATTGTCTTGAGGACAATATAATGAGAATAAACATGCGAGGCACTTAGAACAAATCACAACCCATTCTTGGTTTGCAGAAAAGGGCTATAGTGCCTATGTAGAAAGAGAAAAACAAAATCTCCTGGCAACAGACTTAAGACATATTGGTCTTTGTTTCACAATATGGCTCATCTCTAACCCTTAAGCACAGTCTGTTCACTGTAACTCCTTGTTGATAAGAAACTAGTGGATTAGTTTGGCAGGTAATCATATTATATTGGTAAAAGAAGAAGTAATGACAATGAAATGGTTATGTGAAGACATACTGGCACTTCTTAACAGTGGTTGATTAATAAATCATCAATTGATCATGAATGATTAATGTTTTGCACAAAATGTAACATGTTTTATGATAAACTATTAATCATTCCATTTTAGACATGTTTTAAAGTATGTAGAAATACTCTTTACTCATAATACTATAATTAATACTTTGCTTGACATGGTTTTCCCACATAAAAAGAAACCTGTATCTTTCCCCCTTGTTGAGAAATTCTGACTCTACGAATGACTAGCGTTAGAGGAAATACAGGACAGATTTAGCCATAGCCTGCATGTCTGAGACTCAATCAGACACAGACTCACATGAGGTGTCATTAGTGTCACATTAGCGGTTGTGAAACATACAATAACAACAGCTACAATGTTACAGTGTGTTCACTTTGTCACATTTTAACGTAGCAGACAGTTGAAAGAAGCTCCAGGGTTTGAGGCACACTCTACCATGTTTGCAGTCAGAATTTTCACTATACTCACTATACAAACTCTCACTCTCTGTAAGTCCGCTCTGTGCTGGGGGTTTCTGGTTTCTTTGTTGTGGCATTTGCTAGACAGCGATTGGCTTTCGAATTTGTTATGTACCAAATCTAGCTTGCTCTGGGGTGAATCTCAGATTTTAAGAAAAGTGTACAGACATCTCCCCCTTCAGTAGAGGAATGTGAAAACGCCTCTCCAGTGACAAACTCTGCACAGCTACAAGTCAGTAAATTGGAGGTCTGACATTATAGGGAACATGAACATAAGAAAAACACATTTTTCACTAGATCGAGTCATTCTTCTAGCAAATATTTCAAACCTTATATAGTTCCAGTTTTGCAAATGTCTTCTTTTCTTGTTTTTATGTAATAGTAAACTGAAAACATGGTATTTATTGGGGTTATGGACTGTTTGATGGGCAAAAGGAAGATTAGAAGATTATAAATTCTATTAGATTTGGGATGCTGTGATTGGCATTTTCACTTTTTTCTTATTTTTCATTTTAAAGACAAAATAACTAACTGATTAATCCAGAAAATAACCGTCAGACTTATTACACTGCATTGAAGGTTCATAAGTATAGAACATGAACATAGCAAGACCTAGAGACTGTTACTTGGGTCAGTGCAGTTATCATCTGCTGTGAGGCCGCTGTCTATAGATGATCACAGCTCACCGAACCACAGTACAGTTGAAGCGTGACACAGAAGGCCTTTTTGACACTGATCTAAATAGCCATTATTAGTGCTGGATTTCAGACAATTCCTCTTGAAGTTGAATAAAAATTGTGACTTTAGTCTTTATCTGTACCACATACAAACAACACATCAAAAAAGTTACTGCAGCTGTCTGGCGGTTAAAGCACCAGCTATTGCAGCAGACTTGGAGGCTTATAATAACAGCAGTGCAGCTAGTTCAGCAGGCAGTCAGCCAGGCCACCAGCCAGCACAACAGCACACTGCAGGAGGGAAACATGGAAACAGGGAGCTGCTCTAGGTACTCCACATGGCTCCCTGCCTGCTTGAATGACTAGAAGGAACATTCAGCAGAGGCCTCAACAGGCAAAGGTAAACATACACACACTTTCCCACCCACAATCTCCTGCCAGAAATAGGATGCTGCACAAGATGACAGACTCACATTCACGTGCGGATCGCAAATTACCACAAAAACATTGCGCACACACATACAAACTCAAACGCCTAACATCGTCTTCACCTAACCTATTTACAGACACGGGGCTGGAGATATCAAAGCGCTGCGCTCTCTTTGGGGAATTCCTCCTTTCTCATGTTTTAAGGGGAAATAGATGAAAACGAATCTCATTCTCCCTGCACCTCCCCTGTGTGTGTGTGTGTGTGTGTGTGTGTGTCTCCTCTGCCTTGTTAATGTGCTAAAATGTAAATTGGTCATACTCAACAATGTGTGTAAGGCAGAGTGGAAGCTGCGGCTTTGCTGACAGACTGTGGATATGCCTTTATTAACAAACCCACACTCTGATTCCACCTTTCTGTCTGTCTGTCAGATCTCTCCTCACTGCCTCCGTCAACCACACACACTATTCTACTACATCAATCCGCATCATTCTTCCCTATCTTCTCTATTAACACACGTAAAACACATTTGCTGAACTTCAGCATTGCATTTAAGGTGCAAATAATTTTGCAACTCATGCTCTGATTCCTCATTCCCAACACTCAGAAACATGTGGAAATGGTGCTGGAGCTCCTTCCTCTCTAAAAGTGATTCAGTGATTTATGGTTTCTTGCAGTGGACAGAAGCAGGCAAATGTCAGCAATATGGTAATGGCTTTTCATGATCAACCAAGTACAGTACAAACACACACAGACCCTCTGACCAACCTTCACCTGACCCTTTAGATACAAATAAAAAAAATTTAATGGATTTTCATGGCATATTTGCTTATTTAATTTCATGCATCAGCGGTGGGTGAATAAAAAGAATAATCTGTGGACAGGGGTTGACAGCAGACAAAATAAAGAAGAGGATTGTAGGTTTTGGAGTGTTAGCCGAGAAAGTACCCATGCTCACACTCACAAATTTTTACAATTTGTCCTGTTGCAACCAGTGTGTCCCCATCATCACTGAGCTGCTGTCCGGTGTGCTGCTGGCCAGTTAAAAGTGTCCACTCAACATGATTTAGATCCCCCACATCCCCTCTGGACCTCCATCAGCAGAGCCTAAAGTGAGTGATGGATTCGCTACATCTGTGGAGTGGAAGAGAGGAGAGGAGGATTCTGGTGCATAAAAATAGAGCTGGAGCCTGCTGGAGCAGAAGACTGAGACTTAATGAGGGATGCAATCATCAATTATTCAAAACACTTAATCATGGTGTCGCACGATGCTGTTGCACAAACATACACGTGCGCACACACACACACACCCAGAGACAAACGCGCACACACAGACGTACCAAGTAGCTTTTCAAACTGTGCCTCTGAAGGCAGACACACAGAGACAGATAGATGGATGAGAGGGAAATAAAGATACAGGAAAGGCAGACTGTTGCTTCACTGCGTGTCTGCATTACTTATTGCAAACACATATGGACATTGAAATTAAATTCTATCAGTCATCTATACCCACTTATCCTGTGCCGTGTTACAGGGGGCTGGAGATCTCACAGGGCGAAAGACGGGGTACACTTTAGACAACCATTCATACTGGCAGTCGGTTTTCTCATTCTTACCTACATGTCTTTGGACTGTTAGAGGAAACTGGAGCACCCAAAGAAAACCAAAGCACACAAGGGACAACACTGCCTGACAATCAGACTGAATGACATTTTAGTTTTCTTCATTCATTCAGCTTGTTCATATTAGCCCATTTCTTGTTGGGGGGGGGGTGTTACCAATGTAACCAATCACTAGCGAGTTATGTATTCGTCCCGTTGATGTCATTTTCATTCAGCCTGGAACCTGCCCATACTGATGTTTGAAGAGGATTTGATATGATTCGCACTGAATAGTTTCTTTGTCGATGCCACTATAAAACCTCTATCCGTTACACTCATTCAGTCATGGTAGACTCAGCTTTTAGTGTCACAGTAATCTAGCCTCATGTTACCTTAATGAGAAAACAGATCACTGGTGTCAGATCTGTAATAGGTATTGGCAGATCCTGAGTTGAGGTATCAGATTAGGTATCAAGGGAGAAATGTTTGATTAGTGCATCCTTTTCCCATTCTCCAACTCCACAAAACAAAATTATTTTCTCCCCAGTCAGCACACTGATAAAAGTGATAACATAAACATAAGCACATATAATGTAAATGTATGTCCCTATAAGCATGTGGTGCCTGTTTAGAGCAGCTCATGGGAATGTTTAAGTTCTTTAAAGAGTAAAATTGAAAAATAGCACAGTGATGTTAGGACTAGGTGGTAGAAGAATGGAGAAGGCAATGACTAAGAGAACCTGGGAATGCTTTAGGCTAAACCTTCAACAATAACAGTCCTGAACGTCTTCACTTGCAAGCCGCTGGCAAGCCGTGCCTGAGCATTTCGCTGCCAGCAACTTGTACAGAGACACACATCTGGAGAAGCCAACAGGTGA